GAAGAATATATTTTAGAATAGTAGATTGATAGAGAATGTGTGGTTGAAAAAGTAGGAAAAGTTATTGATGTGATGAAAAATATTATTTTATTAAAAAATGTGTAATTAAAAATTAATAGAATGATGAAAATAAAAATTTTAATGTGTACCATGGGCTTTACTAGTTTTAACCCTTTTCCGTGAGAGAAGTTATTCCTGAAATTCCTCTTCACCGCCCGGAGTCCCAAAAACCTAAACCCTAATCGAAACCATGGTGTGCATCAGGAAAGCAACAGTAGATGACCTGTTAGCTATGCAAGAATGCAATTTGTTCTGCCTGCCGGAAAATTACCAGATGAAATACTATTTCTACCACATACTCTCCTGGCCGCAGCTTCTCTACGTTGCGGAGGACTACAATGGCAAAATCGTGGGCTATGTTTTGGCCAAAATGGAAGAGGAGAGCTCCGAGTGCCATGGCCACATCACCTCGCTTGCCGTGCTCAGGACGCACCGGAAACTTAGCCTCGCGACTAAGCTCATGACTGCTGCCCAGAATGCCATGGAACAGGTGAAATGAGTTATTTTTATTGTTTCCATTTTACGCTTTTTTGGCTTTCCCCAAAGTTTGGGAAATTATTTATTTTTTTGTTTGTTTCTGTTGTTAGCATTTGGGATTTGCATTTGATTTTTTTACTTTGTATATCTAGAGTTTGTCTAAATTATCTTTTGCTGATTATTGAGGTGCTATTCTTGCCTTTTGGCAGTGAAGGGTGGGTCTTTTATTTTGTGTTCCCAGCGCTTTTGGATAGCCTGTTTTCTCTTTAGTTGTTTTGTTTCTGAAATGGTCAGTTTGTTTTGAATTTTTTCCTTCCTACTGTGGGTTTATGGTTATATGTGAATTTGATGCATCCAAGTAAATTGCAACAGGGCACAAAGCCAATGCACCGGGGGTTGGGGGGTGCTAATCATTTTCTGCTGTGGTTTAATATTGTCTTGATGTGTTGGATAGGTTAATTCTGCTAATTTAGACTCAATTCTTCGTTTGCTTATCTGATTATGAGTGATATTATATTTAATTTTTCTTCTTGTATACTCTCGTTATTTTTTTTATATTAACTGGACTGTGACTGGTTTGGGACTTTGGACCCTTTCTATCGTGCTTGTTTAACATCCGCATGATGTGTGTTCTTGATTCATGTTGAGCTGTCCGTACAATATTGATATTTCAATGGTCTGCTAATGTGAGAATTAGTTGATTATTTTAGTATAGGTATCTGGAACTATTTGGATGTGCTTGTATAATTTTAGGAAACAACTTTTAATCTTTTTCCCTGGCTACGCAGTTGTACAAGTTTTAATAGCATAGGTTGTGTCAAAAAGCTTCTATGATTGTTTGTGCATTATGTTACATATTTTTATCTCAATTTCTTTTCTGCTCAACAAGAAATTTGAGTTCAACGGACTGGAAATCCTTTTTTATGAAACGCAGTTATTCAGTTTTGCTTTCACGTGGATCTTTAGATAAACTAGGATTCACCTTGGTTGATGTTGGTTTGGATCCTCTGTCAGCTAACACGTCCTTGGTTTCTTTCTTGAAAAGGTGTACGGCGCAGAGTATGTGTCCCTGCATGTAAGGAAAGGCAATAAGGCTGCATTTAATTTGTATACAGAGACATTAGGGTACACGATTCATGATGTGGAAGCGAAATACTATGCAGATGGGGAGGATGCATATGATATGAGGAAGCAATTGAAGGCAAGGAAACATCACCACCACCACCACCATCATGGTGGTGTGTGTTGTTCCGGGGATTTGAAGCCTGGTGAGAAGACTGGATCAGCAGAAGCCCAAGCATAGTAATGGCAAAGGATTCAGATTTGAGGTTTATCATGTTACTTACTGTATTTACTATACGAAAAAAGTGTACCAATGAAGTTTCTTTTTTCAGTGGAAGTTCAAATAATCATGATGGACATACTTATGGAAATTCTGCTTTTGAGTTTCGAAACTATCACTTTTTCCTTGTTATTGAAAAATTTTGGTGGGGAATGCTATATTTGGGTTTACATGTTTAGGCGTTTAGCAATTGGCTATAATGGATGTGCTGCTTCTTTTGTTGTGGTTGTGGTTGTGCGGTTGGAGTTTGTTTTACACTTCGAAATAACAATTGACATGGACGTCCTTCGTAGGTATTCACTATTTTTGGAGCTGATTGCTGCTAAACATAATTAGCCAGAGATGCAAATGTGTAACTAGAAATCTCTGTGTATTCATTGAATAGCTAGTCTCGAGCAATACTTAACAAGCACTGAATATTGTAGGATTTTGTTATCATTGCTAATTACGTTCAAATATAATATGATGTCTTTGATCTTGTTTACTGTTCATGTTATAAGAGAAAACTTATAAGATGTCTCTGTTTATTTTCATGGTTTGTTACCCATCTCATTTTCTGTAGTGTGCCTGTGGTAGAAGACTAACCCCCAATTTACTAATATATACAACGTTGCCTGGAAAAGAGATACCTCTAATCTACATATTCCAAACATTCTTTCTCTGTTCCTCTTTGATGCTAGGATATTCCTTCTTATAGCTTGGGCCGTCCAAATTCTTCTGTATTGAAGTGGGCATTAGAAAATTCTCATAATGAAACACAACGAAGTAGCCGTCATTTGACTAAAAAGAAGAGAAAAATATGTTGTACTTTTAAAGATGTGCAAGGAGAGAACGAAGTCAGTGAAGAGAATGGAAGATGTGTGGCTATTGTAAAACGTGTTTGGTCTCTTGAACCGAAACTTATGTCGGGTTTTTAGCCTCTGTTTCATTTGAACTACTTTTTTAAGTTTCAATGGTCTTAACATTTTCTAGATTGAGACACCTCTAAATGCGATGTAGCATTGGTTGAACAAAGAAAACAAAGAAGATAACTTGGCTTAATCAGGGAGAGTCCATCCACTAAAGAAAACTGTAGCAGA